GTTTCCTATTTGCCTCATAGTACACACGCCGGTGTTTGGGTGTACGGCCTCCCTTTGTCTGGCGTTGTCTTTGAAGCGGAAACGGTCACACATGCAACGGTGCTGTGTGCATCGTAGGATACAAGACAGTCTGTACATCTGTAGGTTCAGAATTCGCCAATAAAATTGACCACAGTCGTGTCGCAAACCCAACACGGTCCACGTAGGCTGGGTGACCTATCGATTTGTTTCAAACAAATGTATACAACTCGGTGAGATTTCCTACTGCAGCGGGCTTGCTCTCGCGCAAGCCGCCAAGTTGCCGCTGGGACAGGGCGGGATTTTGCTCACGTGTTCATATTTGCATTTCCTCACTTGTCGGTTGCTCGATCTACTCGATATGCAGATACCAAGCCCACTGGAGTCCGCTGGCTGTGATCTTCCCCGTCCGACGTATCCTTTGTCGTGCGCAGGCGCTGCGTAGCACGACTGACTGGTGGCCTTGGCATCCAGACGGTCGGCTTTTCCGATGCGCTCTCCATTGGACCTTCCCAGGATCTCACGCTCGATGGCGAAGTGTAAGGCCGGACTTGGCAATCTCCCAGTGCGTTGAAGTTCCTCCAGGATGCGTGCGTGGTGCTCGAGCTTGACCACAAGAACCGGTCTTATTCGGTCTTGGAGCATTGAATCAAGGGGTACATTAATAGCGTCCAGATCCACACAGCCGTCAGCGTCAAGATCTTCGGCGACCAAGGTGGCGAGGTTGGTCGCTTTGGCGCCGTCGTGCTCAAGTATGTTCTTGGGGAGGGCGGCGCTGCGACGCTACAGTTTGCTGCGAGCTTTGGCACGGCGCCGCTCGCGCCTAAATCTTTGCACGCGATGAGCGACGAGGTGCGCAATACAGCATTTGTAGACGGGATTGCTCACGGTCCTGTGAGGTTGCCACGTCAGTAACGGCCATGCGAGCTGCCACGTCAATAACGGCGCTAGCGAGGCCCCACTGAGTCCACACTTATGTTGTCGAACATTGTGTCTATGCTAGTGCTCATCAACGTACAATAATTTCACACACAAGTATAAATCTATGAAGATTTATATTCTCCACGTATTTATATTCTCCACGTATGCGAAGTCTTTGTAGCAACGAAGATAACGCGAGACAGGTCCATATAAGTAGTATACATCTATGGTTGTTGTTCCAATATTGCTCTACGGCGACGCAAGCACCTTGTCGAGGTACCCGCCTTCGTGGCAGAGCTCGTAAAAGATGCCAGTGCCGTCGTCAATCAACTGCTGCGGCTTGTCGCACTGCACGAGCCGGCCTTGGTCAAACACGAGAATGCGGTCGCAGTCCAAAACCGTGTCGAGGCGGTGGGCGATCGTGAGGACGGTCGAGGCCGCAAACTCGGTCCGGATCACGCGCTGGAGGTTCTGGTCCGTCTCGTGGTCAATCGCCGCCGTCGCTTCGTCCATGACCACGATGCGCGCCTGCCGAAGGAGGGCCCGCGCCATGCACAGCATCTGCCGCTCGCCGACGCTAAAGTTCTCGCCGTTCTCTTCGACGTGGCTCTCGAGCTGGCCGTCGACAGACGCGATGCGCGACTGGAGCCGGACTTTACCCAGCGCGTCCCAGAGCTGGTCGTCGCCATAGTCGCTGAACGGATCCAAGTAGTTGCGCAGCGTGCCCTTGAAGAGCACGGGGTTTTGCGGAATGATCGCGATCGCACTGCGCAGTGTCTTGACGCCCACCGACTTGATGTCGACGCCGTCGATCGAAATCGAGCCGGACGCGAGCTCGTTGATGCGGAAGAGCGCCATGGTCAAGCTCGACTTGCCGGCGCCCGTGCGCCCGACGATGCCAATCTTCTCGCCCGACGCAATGTCGACGTTGACGTCCTTGAGCACGAGCGCATCGTGCTCCTTGTAGCGGAAGCTCATGTTGCTAAACGTCACGTGGCCCGTCGTCGGCCAGTCGTGGGCCGTCGCACCAGGAATGACACGGGGCGCCTCTGGTTCAATCGCCGCGTACTCGGCCACGCGTTCAGGGCCAACCATCGCCGTCTCGAGCGACGACCAAATACGGACAATGCTCTCGAGCTGCGGAAGAACCGTGAGCGCGTAGTTCATCACAAGCCCAATGAGACCCGCGTTGAGGTACGACCGCATCGCAACGAGCGCGCCCGAGATGACGAGGATCATGACGGCCGAGATGAGCTGGATGCGCAGCGAGAACCACTGCGTCACGACCTGGCTCGCCCACGTCGCTTGGTTGCTGCCGTCGACATTGTGGTGATGGAGGCGCTGGAAGCGACGCACTTGCTTCGGGCCAAACGCGCGAATCACAAGCGCGCCTTCGATCGCCTCCGAGATCAAGTTGAGCATCGGCGACCGCGCAGTCTTGTTCAAGCGCTCCATCTCGCGGGCTGGCTGGATATAAAACTGACCGACATTGAGGTAGAGAAGAAGCAGCGGCAGCAAAATGAGGCCGAGCGACTTGACGACAAAGATCGTCGTGCACAGCGAGAAGCCGACAATGAAGATGTTGGCCGACATGGCGCTCAGGCTCGACGGAATCTGCTGGTCGACAGTCGACATGTCGCCCGAGTACCGGTTGAGGATGCGGCCAAGTGGGTTGACATCAAAGAACCGCATCGGTGCACGCAGCAAGGCCGACGTCATGTTGGCAAAGAGCGATCGGGACGCGCGGAGACCCGCAATGTAGATCGAGAGTGTCCGAAACACCGTGAGGATCACGCCGGCAAACGCAAGCCCCGCGTATATCGAGAGGTACCACGGCGCCTGCAATGCGAACGTCTCGCGCGACTCGGTGGCTGTCGACGCACTCCACTTGCTGAGCCAGAGGTCGCTGCCGACCGAGAGGCCTTGCCAGAGCGAGAGCACAACTACGAGGTAGATCACCATCGGAAGACCACCAATCTGCTTCATGTAGTTGAAGAAGACAGCCGACGAGACACGGCCATGGCTGCGCTCCTCGTCCAGGACGAGGCGGCCGTCCGGGGCGCCTTCCGCGTACACCTTTTCGGTGGCGTCAACCGGCGTGTACGAGAGCCCGTCAAACTCGGCCGAGTACGGCGTCGTTGCGGATGGCGTCAAGAGCAAGTCAAAGCGGCGCGGCGTCGGCGCGTCATCATCGACCACGTCATCCGCGACAAAGCCCACGCGCGCCTTCAGTGGCGAGACGAGGATCGGGGCGTCTTGCTTGTCGACTTCAGTGATGAGCAACTTGCCTTGCTTGAGCTCGATCGACCGGTCAACGTACGAGGACGCAATGATCTCGGGCGAGTGCGTCACGAGCACGATCGTCTTGTGCCGGAGGAGCCCGAGAAAGCACTTGGTGAAAATCTCGTTCGACACGATCGCGTCGACGGCCGACAAGGGCGAGTCCAAAAGGAAGATGTCGGCGTCGCTGTAGCAAGCTCTCGCGAGCGAGATGCGCGCTTTCTGGCCGCCGCTGAGGTTGACGCCTTTCTGGCCAATCTCGGTGCGGTCGCCGGCGGGGAAGAGCGTCAGGTCCTTGCTCAGTGCGCACGCGTCCAGGACGGCGTTGTACTTTTTCCGGTCGTACGGCTTGCCAAAGAGGATGTTGTCGCGGATCGTGAGGTTCTGGAT